TGCGAGACCCGGGATTTGAACCCGCATCACTCGGTTTCCCCAAGCGAGCGCGTTACCACTGGGCTACCACTGCCTTGCATACGCTTAATGCTCACATAATGATTTTCTTCGTATACCTAATAGTTTTTGCATATTATATATGTTTCCGAGCGAACAACTAATGTCGCAATTGTGCAGAATGAATTATTAGCTATCCGGACAATGTGATATAGACTCATCGCGATCGTCATTATGATGGCAATAGTTAATGTGATTTCTATTGTAGATATATTTATTTTATGTTCTTAGCTATAAACCTGTGCGTGTGTGTGTGCATAATTGCTACTTTAATATCACTGTACAATGAACTTACATATAGACGTAAAATGGTTATTTTATGGCAGAACTAGCATAGCCCGCGGCTCCGCCCACGTTCAGATGACCAAAAACCAAATTCTTAGGTTTTACATTTTAGTAGGTATACTCTTTACATTGCAGTTTTTGTATTTTTTCTCAGAAATGAGTTACTTTTCCGCGGTACAATTTATCCTATATGTTGACCCGGATAACCAGCTATCATCATACCAAATCACATCAAAATCCCTCAAGTGGTTTTTCTGTGATGCGGTAACAGGCAGACAGACAGGCAAAAATTCTAAAAACTATAGATTTGGCCTTTGTTTTGATAATAATGTTTATTTCAATAAGATTTTCCAAAAATATTTAATGTACAGATTCGGCTTAGAATTTTATTATATGTATAGACGATACCAAATCGAGATTTTCAAATGTATGTAGGTAATATAAGGCTTGTATCCTTCAAACAACTAACTATCAAATATTTGAAGGCTATTGTGGATTTCGAGGCACGCATGCACAGGGTAGCCAGAATATTTTTTTCACGAGTATTTTTACGGAATAAGAAGTATACGAAATGTAGCTTATATCTTGATTATATTAGCTGGATCTTGTACTTCATGATTTAGCGATGTGGCCGTGAAAAGATTGATAGACTTTTTCACATTACATATTAAGAAATTAGGTATATTTTATCTTTTAATATAAATAATTTGTCAATAAATAAATCAAACTAGGACATATTGTCAACATTATATCTATACATATAATAAAATTGTAACTTAGCCGAATCTGTACATTAATTTTTTTGAAATATATTATTGAAATAGACATTATTATCGATACAGAGGCCGAATCTATAGTTTTTAGTGAATTTTTGTAAAAACTACTGGAGAGAGTTTGATGAAATTTGGTATGGTGATAGTTATCCGGGTCCACACATAGGATACTTTTTACCGCTGGAAAATCACTCATCTCTAAGAAATTTATACTAAACATTAAAACGTAACTAGAGACGAACGCGAGCGGAGCGAGGATGCGTGCCTAGTTGTTAAATATTAGCGATAACCCACGCTTGGCTTTTTTTAGGGGGCGTTCCCTAGGTGACTGTGTTAATTTAATCCAGGTCATATTCAATCAGTATACAAAATTAACCAAATCGGTATGTTTATTTCAGCGTGAAGGAATAACAAACATACACAAACAAATTTTTGCATTTAAAAAAAGTAGTCCGATCAAAAACTATCTTAGATAAAAAATACAAGCCAGTGGATGTCATAAAAATATTAAAAGGATTAAAACATCAGTTTCTTGTCAGTTGAATTGTGTTTAAACACCGGTTACATCATTTCGACCACACCTCGACTTTAGACGATCCATGATATCCATGCGTAATTTAGCGTTACGCGCAAGAACACAACGTGCAAAAAATATTGTTAAGCTACAACGATGCGAAACACTTAACTGGTTTGTTTTAATTCTGACAAATATCTATGTGTTGTTTTTAATTTTACTATTTAACAAGATAACCAGAAACAGGTAAAATAAGGTATGATCCTCGATATGGAAGTAGGTTTTTTGGTCTTGGAAGATAAAACTGTTTAATTTTATTGATCAATCGTTACCAAATTCACTTCAAACGAGCACATAAAATTTCGTAATGTTTGTTTGAGTTATGATTTGTGCAAATACCAACGAGATTTCGTATGAAATCATAGAAAGTAATTTTATTATAACAACTAGCGACTCTTTCTCGCTCCGGTCGGGTTCGTCCATAGTTTACGTTTTAACGATTTCTCAAAGGTGAGATATTTTCCCGCAATAATAAGTATCCTATTTGTTGACCAGGATAACCAGCTATCATCATACCAAATTTCATCAAAATCTGTCCAGTGGTTTTCTCGTGATGCGGTAACAGATAGACAGACAGACAAAAATTCTAAAAACTATAGATTCGGCCTCTGTATCGATAATAATGCCTATTTCTATAAGATTTTCCAAAAAAAAAATATGTACAGATTTGACTCAATTAGAATTATCGTACTTATTAAATGTACAGATAATATAATAAATACGAAAGTTTGCGAGTGTTTTTGAGAGGTTTGTATTAGTTACTTACTTAGTTACAAGCTTCCAGTTATTGGAATGAATGAAGTTGGGAAGAATATACCTTATTCTGAATTAAAAGATAGAATACATTTATTGATGAAACAACAGTGCTCGCAGAACTCCGGAAAAAACAATTTGGAAATACGTGATTAATTTATGACATATACCTATTATGACGTCATAGCACGACGTAAACTACGTAACTAATATAGTACATATTACATATCTTTATATATATAATTCTTCTGTGAGTGTGTATGTCACTGAACTTCTCTCAAACGACTGGACCGATTTTGATGAATTTTTTTGTGTGTGTTCAAGGGGATCTGGGAATGGTTTAGATTCACAATTTGAATAATAATTTTCATCAAAAAAATTATTAAAAAAAGTTTGAAATTTTCAAATTAAAGACGTGTAGACAGGACAACGTCTGTCGGGTCCGCTAGTTATAGATATAGATCTAATATCTATAGTCTTCACCATGGTATAAAAACTATTATACAAGTTCTTTTTATTACTAAATAATTATAATATCTGGGCTGTATAAATTACTTTCAACGTATGGCATTTTATAGCATTATAAAATATACATATACTATACATATTCAACAAGTTTCCGCCTGCGCTTTCGCATGCGCGTGTTCATTTAATTTGCTCCCTTCATTGGGTTTCTATTGGGCGCTTTAGCATTGAAAGATCAATATTTTTGGTTACCACAGTATGGGAAAATTATTATTCTTAGTATTCCCTGGCAATTCAAAGTACAATTTAACACTTTCATTCAATTTGCCTAGAAATTTCCTATCATATGAATACGTAGAGTCAATTTTTTAGTGAAGAACTGTTTTATTGGCATATACGAGTAGGTACATGTACCTAATGACAATGGCGTAATTAATGATCCTATATACCTAGAAAAACTGTTTGTACTCCAGTCTTGGGTGTTTATATTTATAATTTGTATGTATTTAAAGTTATATATGTGTAGTGTATCAACTATCTGGTATCCATAACACAAGCTACGTAGCTTACCATGGAACTAGATAGTGCTGTGTGTTAATGTCCCAACAAATTTATTTATTTATTTTAACTTTAAATTACATCTTACTCGTTATTAAAGTACTCGTTATAACATTATTAATATATTATACGTAAAGATTATTATTAGAATTTTAATTTATCGAGTCGCGATGAATTAATATTTACCGAAGAAATATTACATTTTCAGAATATACTTACTACTTTACTCGATATTCGAAACAGTTAAGTAACTTGTACTAAGGACACAGGATATGATTTAATGAGGGTTGTTGGGGTAGGGCGCGGCCCGTCCTGCAGGCGCCTGTGTTATAAGGGCGACTTTTTATCGAGTTGTAAAGCGTGAATCAAGGAATTTACCCTGGACTCTATCGATCTTTTATACTGGAATATTTTAAAGCGTTATCTACAATGCAAATCATATGTAGCCTTATTTGTACATGTAACAATATGTATAATAAAATAGTAACTAAACAACTAAGTAAACAAAGTAAGAATATTTTTTAAATGGGTTGGGAGATGTAAACATATTTTAGTTTTATTTGTCTGTCTATTTGCATAGCAAGAAAAGATCAATGATTTTATGGAATGTTTTATAGTTCTTTAAATTAACAGACTGTGTTATAGTGAGGGCCTATCAATATGTAGTGGGCTATATATGTAATTAAAATTAAATTCACGCTGTCAAGAAGTCATCGGATAAAAGTTAGTTTGCCTACATTTATATTAACGATAACATGATATTATTATAAGTATTAAAAATTTATTAGAAGTTTATATTTTACATATTTTTGTACATCTAAAAAATTCTGAATAGCTCAACATTAAATGTTTTCCAAGCTGCAAGTATGACACACATAATTTACAAATCAGTAATATTTACATAGCTTCTACTTGTTACGTTACTATTTACTTAACTTGTTAAGAATTGATGCTAAAACAGAATTTGCATAAATGTGTCAAATGTTGAGTAAATATTATGAAAAATCCTATTTGCTTCATATGCTGTAATGTCAAACTACTAAAGTTCATGGTGTTGGTTAAATTTACAATAGATTTTCATATCTATAAGAAATACAAAGAACAATACGTGTAGAAAAAAATGCTTACTACATCAAAACAAGTAATGCAGTATGACATATTGTCATTAAATAATATTTATTTATAATATGTGGCTTATATTAGGCAATATTTATTTCATAAAATAAACTACTTGCACAAAATACTTCTTTTTACTAATAAGGTAATCTTGAACATTTTTTTTATTAACATCAACCAGTAATAAAATAGATAAAAAGTTTATTCCATACTATAAAAAATAATCTTAAATAAAACTGTTTATTTTACCTACATTTATACTTATGCATAGACTTTTTTAGCTTCATCTTATCAGCATAAGATTCAGATATAAAGATTGCTGGCTGTAAGATTTAATAGATTTATTTTAAATACCACAATTTTGTAGTTGTTAAAATACAAAGGTATAAAAATATATTATTTAAAAAGTGTTAGCTTACCTGACTGCAACACGCACACTGGACTCATCACTGGCCATGACTGCATTTGTTTACCTTTAAATTGAAAATAATGATATAATAATTCTAGAAAGAATAATTTCCTTCAATTTTAGATACAATAAATTTAAGGACATCATTTAATGTTTTACATTAACAAATGTATAATAATTTAAAAAATATACAAGTTGATAAAATGAGATAAATAAATTTTATAAGTAAATTAAGATATCTCTTATGAATTATGATCTGTAACGTATTGTTTATAACGATTATCAGATTCTTATACATTAATAGACCGCTACTTTTAAGTCATATAAATTGAGCAATAACTTACTATTCGCGATAGTTTAATAACTTTTCGTCTAACTAGATCACATTTCTTTTACAGCAGCATCAAAACGACACGCTAAATTAACACCGACAGAGATTTCCGTCCATCTTTCACTATTATAATAAATACATTATATAATAAAGAGCGCAACAATAACTTTCATTAAAAAATAATTCTGTGAACGAAACTGGTTTAATTAAATTTATTTTATTACACTATTTAGAACTGTCGCGTTTATAAACAATGTTATTTAGATAATAAACGCTACACGCCGACTTCTTTACCGCACGAATTGACACTGACAGTAAAATTCACAGACACTACCTATTATACGTCATGTTGACATTATGATATTAATTTGACTTTGACAACATATGTCATAAAATATTAATTACCTACAAACAAAACTTCTCTAATCCACTAAAGAAAAGGAAAAAAAAAAAACAAAACTTATTGATTGATATAGGAAAATATATTTATTATTATGTTATATTCATAAATATTAAGATTTATATAGTGTTTCCTTTCTTTATAATATAAAGCCAGCCATGTTATATAGCTTTAAAAATGCATCACTAGATGTCGTCTAACTTTGTCATTAAGTTAACTTTTGCGGAACTAGATGTCGCCTTAAGGTGGAAACTAACTAATACAATTTCTCTAAGATGGCGCTTTATATCGAATTTTTGTAGCGAATTCAGTTCTATAGGATTTTTAAATTGTAAAATTTCTTAGCAACATGTATTTAATATACTTATAAAAAATATAATAATGTATTTAATATCTAGGTGTGTGGGTACCTTCTACACGAATATATTTTATTGTTGTAGTATATACTTATCGGTAAGCAACTACTGATTTATTGAGTTAATTGGTGCGAATTCGATTCTGCCGTAGGGTAAATGTCTATGGTAGGCTACACGTTGGGTTTTATTTATCTTTCCATTATTTGTCCTTTGGTAATAAGATCTCATTTGATATGGATATTAATTTACTTTATCTTTCTATGTTTCTGCGTACGTATAATTGGTTCATCGTCATATTACTACTATAAATGCAAGAGTTTATGTGTGTATGCGTGTATGTATGTTTTTTGTCCCTTCACGTTAAACAAGCAGGGCGGATTTGGACGAAATTTAATACACTAATAGATTATGAAATAACATATATGATACTGCTAGTAATGAATTTGCCAAAAGGCGGCATTGTCTATATAAATTACTTGCGACTCAACCTCGCTTCGCTCGGGTTCGCCCCTAGGTAAGTTTTAATTTTTTCAGTACAGACAGACAAAAAATTTTAAAAATGTGTTTTTCTTATAAGTAACGTATATAATATCATATGCATTAAGTGAAACGCTGTTATTTTGAAATTATAAACAGACACTTTAATTTTATTTATCTGTATAGATTATAAAATATAAAGATATAAAAATATAATTTACAAAAATAAGAAATCCGATTGCGTAAAAAGCGAACTAAAAAGATGAAAACAAATTGACTAAGACATGTAGTATTATGCAGTCGGAGATATAGTCGGACATACAATACATGGCAAGTGGCAAGACTCGCAGCATATAGATACAGTTTAGTAGGCTTTTACGCGGTCGGGTTTTTAATTTTTGTAAATTTTTTTACAGCTTTTTACTTTTTGACATTTTTAGTTTTATTTAACAATTTAATATCCTAAATTATTTTTAAACATATAAATTTTTGTAATCGCCTCTTAAAGCCTTTTTTTGAAACCCCGCTTGAGTTATTCGGACGATTTTTTTTTCAAGAGACCCTGTGACACTCGCGTTATCAAGACGAATCTAACGACGTAAGAATCATAAAGACCGGTCCGCGCGTTTGCTCTCTAGAGTGCTACAAAGGAACAAACATACATACATACATACATCATCTAGGCTGATAAACACATTTCCCTTCTTTTGGATTGTGTAGTAGTGTAGCCATTTTATTTATAAATAATAATAATATTGTTCGCCTTATTAGTATGCATGTAGCACGCTGGGTGTTAGTGGAAAGTTTTAGCCCTTATTGCCAATGACCGCACGGGAGAGGAGCGGGTACACCAGCATATCCATATCACAGAGAAATAAAAATTACACTGTTACTTTTAAAGAAATGAAAAGCCTTAACAGAAAATTAACTAATTTAGTTAATTAATATGCATACATAAAATATGAAAGTAATAATTACGTACGTACCGTATCTTCATGAAAAGGTCTACGCAAATATAACGACGAATGTGTCAGAATAATTATATCAATTTGATTATACTGACTTTCTGTGTGGAATATATTATCCTCTGTTCCCTTTATCGAATCAACGAGTACCGACGTCCTTAATAGAAATATCCATTTAAATTACACGTTGATATCCGCGCTCTTATTCGCCTTTAATATTCAACGTGAGATAATAAAGATGACTTTTATATTTTTAATATCTTCTTCAAAACCTTTAAAAGCATTAAAATATTGGTTTTACGATCGCTTTAAAATCAAGATGTACAATGTATGGTACGAATTAAGTTATTAATTGTGTTGTTTATGTGTTTTCATTTTGCGGTGTGCACTTTATAGATATAACTAAAAGAAATAATGTAGAGTGTTCTCGATTCAAGTTAACCTTTATAATTATATCTCATTTATATTTAGAGTCCATAGAGTCATGCTGTTGTATTAGTAAGCTTTGTGAGCCAAGAATTAGCATCAGCTTTTCCCTCTTGAGCATGTGCCAATATACTCTGACTCCTGGGACAACTAACTACCAGCTAGATAGTAGATACCAATAAATATATTGGTTTGGCTTGAAATCGCAGTTTATTTATGACCGATATTTGTTAACTATCATTAAATAATAACTTTATAAAGTGTATTACTAAGATTTTGTCACAATAAAATGTATGTGAATATATTATACAATAACATGTAACTGGTGTTTTTTTTGTAAGTAGAAATAACAGACTACTACCATACTAATACCATTACTTATATCATAAATGTGAAAGTGTCGTAAAAATATGTTAACAATAAAATTATTGAACTTAATCCCAATGAAATTTGGCACAGAGATCGCTTGCTTCACCGGGACGAAAACGGGTTTCTTTTTAAGTTTTTATTCTGAAATTTAAAAATAATTACGAATACGAAAATTGTTTAAGTATGCGGAAATTATTTCAACCTAACTTGGGCTTATATTTAGAATACCAACGCTCTCTCCGCCCTTAATAGGGTCCTGTTACGGAGAACGCTGAGTGCCCTCGCGGTGAGAGCGATACGGACACAATACTTCTCGCGAGTGATTCGCCCTTGGAACTCTAAGCGGACTTGTTACAGAACTAGATGAAGACTAAATTATACGATCAATAACCAAAGTTATGATCGACAAGAACACTCATACATTCGGACCTGAATAAATGAGAGTTTAAGAGGCCGCGATATTTTTCTCGGTTATGGAAGTTTCTCACTGACCCGAGTTATTAGCTTATAGAGGTACCGGAGTGGCGTTTCTCATTTATAGAGGCAAAAAAAAATATGTTGATAAACATGTATGTGTTGTATCGGTATTATTCACCAGAATTGAACTAGGAACTAAGTAGGTAGTTGGCGAAGGGTGAAATCTCAGCAGAGGTAAGCCGTTCCAATAATATACAATTATTAGATACGTATTAATGCAGAAAGAAATAAAGCTATTATTATATATTTATTTCTAAAAGAACATTTATACATTTAAAAAAATAAACGTATGTAAAATTATAGCAAAATAATTTTAAGGTAAGGCGTCTGGTATGGACGCTTCGCCACTGCTACTACACTGGTACTAACATTAGTTCCTCGAAATTTAACAAAACAAAAACAATGTTAATCGTAGGTGTTAAATTGACTCGAATGTTGCTTATATAGAGGTACAGGCAAGGCAGTAGTCTCAGTTATAGAGGTCCACGAAAGAAAAAGGACTTTCTCTTACAGAGGCTTCTGTTTCTCTGTTTAGAGGTTTTGGAGGGATAAAATGACGGGACTCGGTAAATACATACTAATTACTCGTACATACTCTCACTTACAGAATTTTCTCGCTTAATCTCTCACTCAGGTTTGACTGGACATATGAGTATATGTATCACGTATGTACCTACATACATAGATTCTATTCACTACCAACAGTAGTTCGTAGACCAACACGTCATCTACCTTTTATACTGTTTAGGAATTAATGAAATATTTGGTTTGGATTATATGGTTCATTTTTTTTTAATAATTGCAGACTTTGTTTTGTTCATATTTAGAAATGATATAGGTAATATTTTAATTAAAAACAATCATGTCACGAAACTCTAGGATAAACTGACGAATACAAGCAGCTTGAGAAATCCTGCTATAAAGAAAAACTTTCTCTGGCTTTAACTTTAAATTGTGTGGTCTATTAGTTTTTCACGGAAATCCTTTTCCCATGTGGGCTTATCTTCTTATAACTTCAGGATTACACAACTTTCATTGCCAACTCAGTATGTTTGGCAAAAAATCCAGAGGAATCGTTTTACGCGCACACTTTTTTCCTTTAAACTACAAATGGATTCAAGCCCTTTATACCAATAACGACATTTACAGGCTCAAAATGTGCTCCGATCCTATAAATGTTAATGTTATACCTAATGCTTGCCTTTCGTCCTTTAACAGTATATAATTTAGTTATGTGTGAGTTGAAC